TCCAGACCCCTAGGACACCCCCTTGTGTGCGCCACTGGTTGAATTTATTAAGACTGTGTATTTTTCACATCGTCGAGAAATTTTTCTTTTACTTTTTATAGCTGTTCTGACCTTCGATTACACTAGATTAAACTTCTTTGCCGCCCATCTGGTATAGTGGTTAGTGACGCTGACTGCGGTGCCGTAGGGCCTGGGTTCGAATCCCGGAGAAAGCATGGATAATTGTAAATGTTTAGTGCCTTCGTGGCATGGGGTACTCTAAATAGCCGTCGAGCCGCAAGTCCTCTTGTGATGTTGGTGGAAGGGGAAGAGAGGTAGGAGGTCCCTGACCACTCCCACAAAATTGGGGTGGAAACGAGCACAATCGTTCTGTCATCTGCATGGTGCTCAAAGCTAAGGCTAACGACAGGCGTAAAACTTTAGCCCTTAGCCGTGATGAATTTCGTGGACTTTGATCTGATTTTACTGTCGATCAGGTGGCATAAGCAACAACAAACTTCTTCGTAAATTCACATTTTTATATTTTTATATTTAAGTCTTTAATAATGTTGTTGTCGTGTGTTTCATCCTGAGATACATATGAAAGACGAGGGACAGATGATAAGAAACATACAGTACAATCACAGAAGAATATAGACTTTTATTATATAAACGATGATCCCAGCATTGAACAGAAGGCAGGAGGGGTGTCCGATTTCTTTTCCCAATTATTCATTCATGCCTTATTCGAGATTCGAACCCGAACCCACTCGATTACAAGCCGAGTGTCATAACCGGTAGTCTTTAATAATGTCTATATTCCAAAGATAAAGTTTTTCTTTCCTTGTTTGAGGCAGAAGAATCAGATCTAATTCGTTTGGATGACATAGCCATCTCTCAAATCCGAGTAGGTATTATGAACGTAACAAACACAATATAACAATTATGACGTGAAATAACGAACACACTCTCCGTAGATAAGAAATAAATTGCACAAAATAAATTATTATGGCTAAACGTCGATTCTGCGCGATACGTCCGGTCATGTACATATATTAATTAAAAAGGAAACGAGGAGTAAGTAATGGAGTTGTGTAGCTTTCGAACAAAAGACGAATCAACGCGATTTGAAAATCGCTTAACTCTGGGTTTGCGTAAGTCGAGGTACGAGTGTTACTGGAGTTTGAAAATCCATTTGATCTATTTGTACTTGAAGTATTGTAATTCTACTGTTAAGTTTTTAAGTTATATATAAATCGTTTAGCATGTTTAATATATTTTTCAATGTTAAATAAATTGTTGATAATATGAACATTTTCATTGAAATCGACTGTGATTCTCTCAACTGGTTGATAATGAAATAACGTGGGAAAATGTATGATATTTGTTTATTTTTTTTAAAACCTAATAAATTGGAAAACTAAATTAAATTTTTAGGGAAGATTGTACTTGTGTCCCTCGATATGATAATTAGTTAAAAAATGACATATCGACATATCTCAAGGAATAAGAGGAATAAAGCGTCCCAATGTTAGCACATTTGTGTATATCTATAGACTTACCGTAAAATCCGGCTTATAACGCGCATCTATACTTTCAAGCTCTGCATTTTTTTTAACCTTTAGGTATATTCGCCGTATAACGTGCACCCTGTTTTTACGAAGGAACCTGAAGTGTACACATGCAATGTTCTTATGTTTTGAAGTAACTTCGAGATATCTCAGACTCGTTTGAAAAAAATGTGTGTGTGTGGTATGCTAATAGAATTACAAATCTGTAAATTCATAAGCTATGTCATTTCTTTTAAATAAACAGTGTTTCGAATTATATAGAAGTCTTAATTTTGTTTTAATGTTAATCTCTTTTTTAATTTTTAGAGCTATCATTTTTATACCTGTGGCGTATAATGCGCACCCGTAAATTTAAATTATATTTTTTGTGTTAAAAGTGCGCGTTGTACGCCGCATCTAAGGCTGTTTTGGCCATATGTGCAAGAGCGTGAACTTGACGCGGAGCACATTTTCAGACAGAAAAAAATGCCTCAATTTTTATAAAAATGTGCGACATTGTAACTCATGCATTTGTTTATAATATAGTGTTTTTGAAATTTCAAAATATTTCATAAATAATTAGTTTTTCCTTTTAATATGTGAAGGGATAGCTCATTTAGCATTACGGTATAGGGCTGGGATGGCGAACCCATGGCACGCGGCACAATATTTTGGGCACGTCACCGATCGATATGGTTTGTGTTTTAGTTTAAAATAACAAAGTTCACAATGAAATATTAGATATACATGAGAAATCAGACGAAGAAAAAGTTTTTGAAGAATTTATTTCCGCAACTAATTTTTCATAACGGAGTTTAATATAGCTTATGTACACTGATGTGACTTCATTTGATAAACTGAACTTGTTTCTCAATTCGATTATTTGGAAAAGAAAAATTTGAAATGCTACTGATTGATTTCCATTCTAGTTCAATTGGGATCCAAAAATGTATTGAAACCAGAAAAAAAGTGGGAAGGAATTGAAACAGAAAGGTTAACAAGTAATATAAGTAAAAATGTACCTATGCCTACGAGTCATTATTTTCAGAGATGAAGAACATTAAAGACTCGTTCAGAAATGGTTAGGCAGATGACTCTAATTCAACATGCATTCCACTAAAAATAACGTCTTACAATCCTAACATAAATTATTTGTCTTTTAATATGCAACACCTGAAGTCACAATAATATTACTTTAATTTCAATTAAACTTATAACTAAAACATTTACTACATCACCCAACCTATCGCCCAACCGGTATAGTGGTTAGCGAAGCTGACTGCAATGCCGTAGGGACTGGGTTCGAATCCCGGATGAGACATGGATGTTTGTAAAAGTTATAGTGCCTTTGCGGCATGGGGGGACTTTAAATAGCCGTCGAGCCGCAAGTCCTCTCGTGAGGTTGGTGGAAGGGGAAGAGAGGTGGGAGGCCCCTGACCACCCCGAGGGTTTCTCCCTCAAAATTTGGATGAAACCGAGCTAAATCGTTCTGTCACCTGTATGGTGCTCAAAGCTACGGCTGACGACAGGCGTCACTTAGCCCTTTACCATGATGAATTTCGTGGGCCTTATCTGGCCTTTGCCGATCAGGTGGCATTGGTAACAACAACAACATTTACTACTATACAGGGCATTCACTACTATACAGTATTTTTTCGTAGTAAATAAAGAATTTTGAGTTGTTAGTGTTAAGTTTTGTGTTATTTCTCCAACAATCACAAGTCAAAATTGTTTAACGGCACGTCTGCGCCTCATTGAACACATCCTTAGAAAAAATGGCACGTTGATCCATAAAGGTTCGCCACCCCTGGTATAGGGAAAAAAATGCAAAACACATTTTATAAAAGAAAAAAATGTGTCAACTCGGATAAAAATAAGTAGTATGATAAAATAAGCGGTTCTCTGCAGGATAGTGTTAGCCAGAATATACTATTAATGTTTGAGTACTTTTATATATCTGAAAAAAATATTCCGAATTCTCGGCCCCTGTTCTTTAACATTAGCCGAAGATAGCCTTAAGGTAAGCGAATGAGTGTGTGAGTTGCTTTTCTCCTGTATATAAATATGCATTAATTTTACCACTTCTAATCGCTGTTAAAATCCAAACAAATTTTAATGCAGTTCTGGGTATTTTTCTTTAAAAAAAAACGAGTTTAATTTTATGAGGCTAATGAGATTTCTGCTTTTTGATAGATATTTCTTTTTATTTATATGATTTATTCATCAGTTAATATTTTTTTTAAGTTTAAATACTTCGCATTATCTGTGTTTTAATAAGTTATTCTTTTCTCTTTTAGGTAAGTGGAGTTGTATTTTTCGAAATTATAGAGCCTAACTGTGTACTGAAATAATCATCGAACCGTAAGTAATTTCAAGCTGATCTCTAAGAAAATTGTGAGCTGATTTTCACAAAACCCATTCATGGCAGATCTTTACTCAACAAACAAACAAACAAACAAACAAACAAACAAACAAACAAACAAAAAAAAATGGCTGTCAAATTTCTAGTCTGCAGGTCTCTAATAGTTCAAAAACGGTATTTTTATTTCATCTTTAACGCCCCCACAACCCCCTTACGAGTTGATTTTCTCAAAACCCTTTCTAAGCGGATCCTTACTCAACAAAGAAAACATGTTTACCAAATTTAAAGTTTATTTGTGTGTATAATAGATTCTGAAATCTCGTGATGAGTACCGTGAAATCCGGCGTATAGCTCTCATCTATACTTTTAAGCAGTATTTTTTAATTTTTAGGTATATCACCGTATAATGCGCACCCCCTTTCTACGAAGAAACCTGGAATGTACGTATGCTATGTACTTACGTTTTGAAGTCATTTATTTGAGGTATTATTCAAGACTTTTGAAAAAATAGTATATTTCTATAACTCAAATCTTTTAAGTTAATTGGGTGCGTTATTTCTTAAAAAAAAATAGTATTCCGATCTATGTAGAAGTCTAATTTTCTTAAAGCTTATATCTTTTTTTTTTATTTGAAGCTATCATTTTTATACCCAGTGTATAACCCACACCCGTAAATTCTGAGCTTACCGTAAAACCCGGCGTATAGCGGGCACTTTGAACACAAAAAATAAGATCGAAATTTGCGAGTGCGCGTTATACGCCGGGTATAAAAATGATATGTTCAAAAATAAAAAAAGATCAGCATAAAAAATATTAGACTTGTACATATATCGAAACACTTTTTATTTAAAAGAAATGACATACCTAATGAACATAAAAGGTTGTACTTCAAGACTTATACTATTTTTTCAAAAGCCTGAGATAATACCTTGAATAAATGACTTCAAAACGAGTAAGAGCATTTCAGACATATATTTCAGATTTCTTCGTAAAAAAGGGAGTGCGCGCGTTACACGGCGAATATACCTCAAATTTAAAAATTGTACCTTCAAAGTATAAGTGCTCGTTATAGCCGGATTTTACAGTAATCACTGCATGTTTTTTTAAAATTTGGATTACTTCGAAAAAAATCGGGACACGAATTAGAAATCGGAACTCAGTATTTATAGAAATAACGGTATGTGTTGTATACCAAGGAATGAAGAAAATATATTTATTAAAATGTTTTTATATTGATTACATAACTAATACTTTTAAATGAAGGACCGTACTACAAATCTTATTTTTGATTAAGAACAACCTCGTGAGATATTTGAATAATGGGGGAAAAAATCAGCTGTAATATTATCAGCTTTTTTTTACAATCGACTTTTATATGAATAAAAACCAATGCAGAAAACTGTTAAAATAAGTATTATAAATAAATCAATAGCTTTATTTTTTATGAATTTGGTTATTAATTATACTATTAAACTTAAATAAACAAATGCATCGGTAATTAACTTTTCAAACACTAAAAAAATTAGGTTTGGTGTGTGTGTGTGTGATTCGTGGTAACATTCTATTCTTTAATCTTATATTATGCTGGATTCTTTTTTTTTTGTTTTTGTTTTTGTTTTCTGAATGAATAATTTATTTTAAATTTGTGTCAAGGTATCCGAACACGTTGAAATTAGCAAATTCGGTTAAAACACATATTTTTTGTTTTATTTAATAGAGCTATCTTTTGTCTTTACAGAACATATATTTTTTGTTTCTACGCTATCTAGATGTCAAGTTACAATCAATTTTATAAAGTTAGAAAAACTGGATATGGGTCTTTCATCTACCAAAAGTGGGCATTTAAATTATTCAAAATTTATCATGGCGAGTCTGATAACTCAAAATTTTATAAATGCATTT